TTTTTTTAATAGACGAATTAAGAAACTCCTCGTCGGCAGGTAGTTGCAATGGAAAGCAGCGTTAATCGCATATGAAAGTCACCATACAGGCGTGCACTTCACGCTAATCCAAAACCTGGACGTGCGTCGCTTTATGAACCATTGTATTCGCACTTCCGCGTTGGCTTTCTTTCCGATGCGGCGCGACATGACGATTCGAATCGATTGTATCGATACATAATAGCATTTGTAGCGATCGGAAACTCGATACTTTAAGAAATATATTTTAGAATAGATGGAAATGGTATAGTAACCTCGTCTTCTTATCGGTATACGCTGTCGAGGTTCGGTCGTCGTTCGTCGATTCGACGTCGTAATGACGTGACGTCATTGAGGGATGATACGTGAGCAAAAAGTCTGATCAGTTGGTCCATCGTAATGGGTCTCCCAGAATTGAACCATGAAAGTTCTTAAGAAGTATTAATAGTCTTTATTGGTAACAATGTGACCACTAATTCTATTCATTATATCAGATCAGCCGTATACTATCCACTGCTGGACACAGGCCTCTCCAAAAAGGGGACTTTTGCCAATAGTTGCCACGTTTGGCAGATGGGTTGGCAACCGCAATTAAGCTTTTGTTATGTTTTAAGAGGGAAGCTGCTGCCAATTCCTCGTCCATTAAACTCCCTTAGTAAATACTTAATTCCAGTATTTCCATTAGTAAATACTAACTTTTACCCGTGATTTTGTCCATGTGACCGGGATGCGTTAACTGACCGGAATAAAAAGTTGCCAAATTTCATAGTAATTGGTTAAGCCATTAAAATGCTAAGGGGCAACAAGTAAATACACCCACTTTCAAATTTATAATCAAATATTTTAAGGTATAAACCAGAGAGTTTGTTTTTTTGAACATGCTAATCTCCGTAACTACCGGAATCGGATTTGAACAATTCTTTTGATTTTCACAGTTCATTCTTGAGATAGGTTATAGGCTGTTCAACATCACGATACGATCACACGACTACGAGCGAAGTCACGGGATATGGCTACCTTATAATGTTATAAGAATTATGTGAAGGGTTCCTTATAGTTCTTAAGGCCGCGTGCTAGAACAATAGCACATAAAGTGGTACCGAAGGTGGTGGGATATTGCTCAATACTTCACGGATTTCGTTACGAGCTAACGCGGAAGAGAAATATGCTTATAAAAAACATTAACTATTCAGGCTATGGAATAAGCTTCCTGCAGATTCAGTATAAGCTAAAGTAGAAATTATTAATGTCCTTTTAAAGGACATTTTTGCCAGTGAAGCTGATTTCCCCCCAAAAGAAATATAAATATTTTGCTGAACTAAGTGTTATCTCGTAGAAGTCTATATCACTGGTTATTTAAATAGAATTATTTTGTTTAATACCATTAGTATGTGTGTGCCAACACTCGAAGATTGACCACCACTATACCAGAAGTTAAGTATACCAGAAGTTCCACAACCTTTCATTAGTCATCAATCCTCGACTACCATTTTTTTCGCGCCATTTTTTTTTTAATATTTGCCAAATCAGATAAATCTAGTGACACCCCCTATGTATTTGAGTTACGCGTCACACTAAAGGTTCATACATAATACGAATATATATCCGAAAATCATAATTCTCTTTTTTTCGACAGTCGGTTAAATATTTTTAACCTCATATCCACTGGACAAACGCAGAGTAAACTCGCCATTGGCTCACAGTTAAGCTGCATCTATTAGCTAAAAGGCCACAGTCTTTAGAATGCCTGATAAAACCTCTGCCATATCTTATCGTAATCCTATGTTAACAACGATTAACTCTGCCGGTAGAATTCTGGAGGGCTTGGCATCGAAGTTGGTAAATTGTCCCACATTTTTGTTGACTTAACTACCGTGAATCCCAAACAACCGTTACAATATATTAGAATTCATCGATTCAATTAAATTTAATCCTAAATTTAGGCCACCAATTGTCATCGGGAGATCTTTTTTGGATTAGAAGTGTAGAAAATAATACTACTTAAGACATATATTGGGAAATTTATATTTAATAAATTGTACGTACTGAGCATTTATTAGACACTGTACAGACGAGTGTATGGGGCTTCCTGTTGATAAGGAATATACTCTAAAAATTTGCTAAAATAGAACTCTTACAAAGTTCTCTCTTTGTTGTTTGTCGTCTGTTGTACATCTTTGGTCAAACTAATTTGTAACATTTGTCTTTGTGTGCAAAAAAATATGTGAAAACCCTCAATCATCATCATCAATTTTCAATATGAAAAATGTTATTGCAATAATAAATCTTCAGTTCTATATGTTCTCAAAATCCGAATTTTAAGTATGCTAAAACTACATTTCGTAGATATTCGTGTACTGATCTATTATGATCAAATAAATACATACATACATACATATCTGTCACGCCTGTCTCCCATTAGGGTAGGCAGAAACAATGGAACGCCAAATGCTTCGATTCAAACAAACCTCTCAAATAAATCATATAATGCCCAAAGAAAAAGTTAATTAATTATTCAGTCTCCGAAGATTAATGAAGCAATATTTTTATTTCAGACAAACACAGCTTTAATAACATATGACATTTTATATAATTACACAAATAATTTAGCAGTCAATAAAGTTTGCACAGATACAAGGCAAGAAAACACTTAAGAAGAAAAAATACGTTTGAAAAATATAGCAGTACTGAATTCTGAAAAAATAAGTCATAATGAAATTAAACTTTTTGCCATACAAAATATAAGCGCTAAGATTACAATTAAATAAGTCAATATGGCATTAATAATAGTTATGGTTGTAACAAGCTCTGACTAATTATTTTTGGAATAACTAGTTTTATAAATTGGAATTGAAAAAATGGAGCAAGCAAAGTAATACATGTAAAAATTAAGATCAGAAACTCTCTCTGGAGATCTCGCAAAAGATTGCTTAACTTCAAGGGTGGATACAGACGATGCACAGTGATAAAAATGTCATCAACAAATCACGGGGATTTATAGATACAATCATCTAGTACATGTCTATTGAAATTTTTTTTTAAATTCCTATCATTAGTTTTAAACTTTTCTCATTAACCTCGTCTATTCTCATTTCAAACTATTATCTTTTCTGTCTTTTCTTTGGTCTTTAAATTATTGTAATACTGTAATTGCTTTTTGCAAAATTAGACTTCCACAATATTTTATTCGAAACAATTAGGTACATAGTTACTGTCAAAAATTAAGTCGGATACTACGAACGGTTCTGTTGCCATGTTTCGACGCTTCTTATCAGTATTTCACGCACCACTTGTTAAATGGAAAATGTACTCATGAATTGGAAATATCCTTTGGCTCATTACTTTAGTGTTTTGCACTAACACTAACATATCAGTTTAACAGAGAAAGAAGAACTATCCTTGTACTTCTTGCGTAAACTCGTGACTTGGTGATTGTGTTTAAAATTTTTTATTACCAACTCATTTGATATTTTATTTTAAAATATATTCAATAGTAGTTTAGCATTGTGTGCAAAATATACAATACAAGCCTTTGTTTGTTTGTATTAGACATGAAACAATTTGAAACTTCTAAAGTGAAATATTCATATAATGACTACAAAATTATTTAAACATATTGTCTATTATTCTTTCATAATAGATTTAGGAACTCGAATAAAAATCAAGCTGTAAAAGAATAAATTTTTTGCGTAAATTATTTTTTCAAAAACAACTTTAATGACTTTATTTTAACAACTTTAATTGTCTGATTAGAATGGTTCATTTAATTCCATATAGGCATGAATGCTGTAAGAATTTTGGCGGGATACAATACAATCTATAATAATTAGTAATAACACCATTTATACTACAGTAGACTGTAACACGTAACTTCTTATCTAAAATTCAATTTACTTCGTCTGTTATTGTTGTATATTTTATTATCCTGATTTCGCTGTGGAAATAATATTTTTTTTTATCTCGATGATTTCATCATTGGTTTTAAATGTATCATTACTTAATACTCCTTTAATGATGTCTACTTATGTATATGAAACACATTTGCCTTTTCAATATCTAGTCACAAAATTAAATATTTTGTTGATAAACTATGTACTTTAACTATATAATTGAATATATATTCATTGTCTACAATTCTGTGTGTATCTATTTATTTATTTTAAATGGGAAAACTTGAAGGAAGGTTTTTTTTTAATATATTAGGTTACCAGTATTGTAGGTTTTCTTTTTTTTTTCTATCTCTGTATGTTCATTCTGTCAACTAACTACATAAATTTCTACAATTGTGTAACTACAATTTTTAAAGACTGTGCCAAAATAATTGAAAAAAAAAATTGTCACGAGCAATAATATAAGAATATGGATACTTCGAAGAAGTTTATGAGTTGCTCGTGTAGTTTGGTGTTAATAAAACTTAACAATCCACTAAACTGTACAAGTATGAACACAATGCGTCTCGTCGTGACTCAGTCGCCATAAACCTAGTAGATAACTTATCATGTTTGAACTGAGTGTGTATGTGACACACTATACCTGTAATGGTTGATTCAATATTGGTTAACCGTTATACATTGACCGTAACAGTATGGTCACCCTTTTACAGATTTTCTGTGAGCTAAGTGATACTTATATTGCTTAAATTACTGTTTGTAATACATATTACAAAAATTTTTATTATAAAAGTGTTATATTTTGTCATGAATTAATAATGATGAAGTAACATTATGAAATCTAGCTTGCTACCTGGCTAGCGCCTCTAGCATGCCATTTCAGAAACTCGATTTCCATACTAATTTATCGATATAAACGCAAACGTAGTAAAAATATAAATCTTTCTTGAACTCACACTCGATTAACTCTGTGATGAAAACCAATAACTGTTGTGTTGAAATATGAACAGTACATTTATTGTTGAACATCTAATTCCCAATTAAAATATTTCATTTAAACACAAATTCATAAATGTTTTCTTTTCTTTCCAGAGACTTTCAAGAAAAAATGGCCTCAAAGATGAAGAATCCAGTTGGTATTGGGATCCGCCACCCGAAACATCTAATTCCGGCCGACATAGTGAAAACCGCTATGAAATGCAAATTCGCGCATTACAAGACGAGATATCCTCCTTGAAAGAACGCAGCACTATTGACATGAGGCCTGATACTGAAGAGGAATTAAACCGCCTTAGAGAAGAAAATCAAAATTTGACAACCAGCCTAGAAGAATTAGATGCCCAACATCAAATGGCAATGGAGCGGTTGCTATCTTTGAAAAAAGAATTACAAAAGAATTTTGAAGTTTTGAAGCAGGAACACGAAGATTTAAAAAATAGTAATGATGAATATGCAAACGAAATAAAAGAATTGTTAAACAAATTAGGAGAAAGAGATAGAGAAATTGAAAACTTACGATTGGTGAAATCAGACTTAGACACATTACATCATAAATATCAAAATTTGGAAAGAATCCATAGTTTGTTAAGAGAAAACGCTGAAAAATTTCAAGAAGAAAATCAAGATTTACATGAAGAAGTGTTTAAGTTACAAGAGCAAGTTACAAAATTAGAACATGAAATGGAAATATCCTCGAAACATTGCGAATTGTCTGATATGGTACCAAGAGAGAGATATGATGATTTATTAAAAGAACTTAACGATTTAAAGGACAGAAGAAATGCCAATCAAGTGGATTTAGATGAAATTAACATTGATGATAATGCTAAAAGCGTTATTGAAAATTTAAAACGAGAAATAAATGAGCTAAAACATAAAGTAGCTCAAAAAGATCTGGGAAATTTAGATAACGTAAACCATAAAACAGTTAAGTCGGAAAAAATTGCACAGTTATATAATAAATACGTTAACTTTGAACTTCCGGTTGATTATGTTGGTGAAATTCCTTCTGCTAGTGACAATGTAACTATATTTAAATTAGAAAGTGTTTTTAAAACTATTAATGCATTCAAAAAGGAGATAGATACGCTAAAACATGAACTTTCACAGAAAAATTTAAATACTAATCATTTACAAACACAGATTGATGATTTAACCACTGAAAATGATTTCCTGACTAATGACATTCAACATTTTGAGAGAGAATTAAGTGAAATGAAAAAAAATAATGATTTTCTAATATCTGAAATAGCGGCCTTAAAGAATACGTCCAAGTTAGAACCAATAATTGAAACACATGAAGATAATTTAGCGAAATTAGAAACGGAATTGGCTGATTGTAATAGGATTAATAAAACATTTGAGTCTGAGATAAATAGGATAGAGAAAGAATTGGGTGATGTTAGAAAAGAAAAAATTGTTTTACAAGGAAGTCTAAATGATTTAAAAGAAAAATATACATCAATGTTATCAGAGTTAGAAATGTTTAAAAATCAAACCAAAGCTGTTGAAGAGCTGGAAAGCAATACTAATGCTGAATACGTGAAAAAGATGAAAGATGCATCGGACGAAATTGACGATTTAAAGAAGCGATTAAATACTTCTCAAGCTAAAAATGAGCAGCTCTCAATCGATATACATATAATAGAAAATGATAAAGTGTTACTTACTAAAGAAGTAGACGACTTGAAAAACTCTTTGAACGAGAAGTCTTCTGAACACAAAGAATTAGAAGTCTTAAAAGTAACATTGGATCAAAAACTACAAGACCTGGAAATCAAACTTGATGAAGTAATTAGACATAAGGCAGAAGTTGAAAGCGAAAAGTACAAACTTGAAGAAAAAGTTCTTAGTTTAGAAAATGCAGCTCTATCTAAAACTAATACTGTAACAAGTTCTGTAAATGAACTGAATACTACAGAAGATATGAGATTGCACGAAAAAATAGATAAGCTTGTCAGAGAGAATGCAGATTTATTAGAAACTGCTAAAAATGTTCATGAACTTCAAACGACAATAGAGAAATTAAAAGTTAAAATTGTGGAACAGGAGTTCTTTAATCATGAGATTGAATCATTGAAAGAAGAAAATAAGAATGTTCTTAAAAGAAAATTAGAACTTGAATCTGAATTATCGTCAACAGAGTCCAAATTATTACGTTTAGAAGAAGAGTTCGAAAAGTTAATATCTGATATTAACGAAAAAAATACTTTAATAAATGATTTAAATTCAACTATTTTCAGAAATAATGATTGTTTAAATAAGTTATCTCAAAATGTTACTGATCTGGAAAAAAATATATCAAATAAAAATGAGGAAATCAATCAACTTAAGAAAACTTTAGAAGAACTTCAAAGTACCTTACATGATACTAGTCAGAAATCAAGTCTTAGTCAGGATGAATTAAATAGATTACACTCTGAAAAAGAAGAAATAAATAAACAGCTGTTTTCTCTTAATGATGAAATTAGTGCTAAGAATGCAGAGATTTCTGACCTAAGTATTAACTTACAAGAAAGTAAAAAATCATGTATTGAATACAAAAATATATTAGAAAACAAAGAAAAGGCCATAAAAGAGTTAAGTCAGTCTATAGTAGAATTGACAGATAAATTAAAAACTACAGATAATACTACACATCATAATGACGAATATGCAAGATTAGATCAAGAAAAAAACACAATAGAAGCTGAAGTCGCTTTATTAAAAAATAATTTTACAGCTAAAGAACACGAAGCTCTAAATTATAAAGAGAAACTGGAGCAGTATGAAAAAGCATGCTTGGAATATAAAACAATATTAGATAATTTCACAATTGAGAAAAATGAACTTATAAATTTAGTAACTTTAAAACACAATGAAAGTATACAGTATCATAATGAAATACAGAGATTAAATCATGTTTTATTAGAATTAAAAGGTATTGTCGAAGAAAAAGATAAACTACTGCAGAATCATACAAGTGATTGTTCCAATTGTGAAATGATAAAAATGACTCTTAAAGAGAAAGATGAAATAATAATGAATTTAAATCAAAGTGCCAATATCAATGGTGATAAAATAAGAGAGGAGTTATTAGAAGCGAATCAAACCATAAGGAACTTAACTGAGGAACGTGATAATCTTGACAAAAGTCTTGCTATACAGCTAGAAACTGTAAAGAAATTGAGAACAGAAAATGTGCAGGTATGTATTTTAAGATATTTTTATTCGGACTGACGATTTCCTTTCCTTTAATTTAATTGTCACAGATTTTTTTTATCATTTCAACATTTTATTTAAGCCTTTAGCTACGAGTGTATACTGTAGTAAAATCTACTCCATACTATGCAGTAAAATTAATTAGTTTTCCTTAATATTAAAAGGTTAAATATTAATACTTACAAAGAAGTTAGCGTTATTCGCATTAACTTTTATTCAAAGATACTATTGTCTTTGATATACTCTCATCATTTTATTGCTGTTTGACGGATTTTAAAAGTATTTCTATTGTACCTTAATTTCTAGTTGTCAGAACATGAGCAGAATTTGTCAAGAGAACTAGAACGTCTCCGACATCACTTAGTAGAGATGGAAGAGAATTATACTCAAGAGTTAATGACATCAGAGCAGAAATTAACTGAATGTCAGACAAGACTAAATCAAGTCGAGGAAAGGGCTAAGCAGACCAGCACTGTGTATACTAGCAACAGGTCAGTACTCATTTATAAAGAGATTATATGAGGGCGGCGGTAGTCACTTGCCATCAGGTGAGCCGCATGCTCGTTTGCCCCCTGTGTTGTAAAAAAAAATATTCTTAATCTTATGAAAGACACGAATAAGGTAATATATCTCTCATGCATAGAAATGGATAAGTAGTTTTCGGATGAGTTATACGAAAGTGACTTAGCTACCGTTTTTTTATAATAACATTTCAAGACATTGGGTTATAAAATGAAAATCTTAGTAAAAGATCCTGTTACAATAGTTTGAAAACATTATTCAAATCTGAAAATATGCACTTTTTTTTTATTTCGACTAACTGAAAGGACCAACTAGTTAAATTTTTTTTACATGAAAATAAAGATTTGCTTAAACGTGGGCAGAAATTACATAGATATTTAAATAATAATACAAACAGAGTCAACTAACCAACTAAAGTTCAAAATAAATAAAATACCTTCATAATTACTGGCTTCTCCTATCAAATTAACAGATTGATCAAATATCTAAATTATTGTCATTGAAAAAAATTTGAGCATTTTTGGAAATTTTTGTAAGATCAAACAAAAATCTTTTTGCTAATATGCCCCTCATATACATGAACCTAATTATCGAATCGATTGCATACTCCATGCATCTTTTCAGTTTCAATTCAAACATTTATTGGTTTGGATTTTCTATTACAGTATTCGGGCGAATCAAGAAGTGGAAACATTAAGAAATCAAATAAAACTCCTGGAAAAACAACGTGAAGAAGTGCAGACTAGACTGAGCGAAGCAGAGGACGCCCGAAGTAGAAGTGAAGCTGCGTTAACAAATTTACAAGTGGTGCTAGAACAATTCCAATTAGGTACGTGTTTCTTTTTTTGAATAGGTAGAGATTTTTGAATATTTTGTAGCATGGTATTAGTAACTCTAAGGTCGTGACAATAAAAATGAGTGCTGTAACGTAACATTGTGCTCGATTCTGGGACGTCTTGTCTCTAAACTTTCTCTCAATATTTTAATTTGTTAGTTTCGCAAAATTACTGTTTTATAGACCATAGAAAACTGAATTTATAATAATTGTGACTTGAATTTATTAAAAATGTTGTTCGTATTGATCCTTAGAATAAAGATTTCGCTGTTGCAAATTTTAATTTTAAGGAATGTTAGAGAAATAGTGTTCTAATTAAAATTTTTAAAATTTTAAATCTAAAATTGGTACCATTATGGAATTAACATTATTTTGCCCCTTATAAGCTGAGAGCTCCACATGACTGCTCCAGTACCAAATTTCAAGCGATATGTTCAACTAGAGCATGGTCCATATATATAACGAATTTTAATAGAAATCATTAATTCTTTTTTTAATTATTAAAAACGGTTTTGTAATAAACACCAAAATATCAATTTACATTTATACTATTAGCACATACAATAAATTTTTTACTACTAATCATTCAGGACTCACCAGAAGTATTAGAACTTCTATGGTTATTTTTGTATCGTGCTTAATAGCAAAATTTTGTATGATATACATTTTATACCTACACACATACAAGTATCAACCTATTAAAATTCCAAAATACAAGTATTCCAAATATGGTTTTTACAATAAAAGAAGGAGGCCTAACATCAGTAGCCACATAATTTGGTACAGGGTTTTATTTCGAATCTCCAGTTTAGAGCAATAATTTTCTAAAAAAAAAATAGGAATAAATATTTTATATCACCTTCAAAATGTCGTCGCGTATCAGCAGTTCAATACACGTAATAAGCAATTTGGTGAAATCACTAAAATATGTGACTAAATTAAGAATTACTAAGATTGTAACTCGCTATGTGTCACAGAAAGAACATTATTTATTTTGACTCATACTTAAAATGTTTAGCGTTTTATTGCCATTTCGTAGTATGTCTTAATTTTCTGTTTGGTACATCCTCTAAGTACATACATATCTGTCACGCCTGTCTCTCATTAGATTAGGCAGAAATAAAGACACGCCAAATGCTTCGATTTCAAATAAACCTATTTCGCTTCCTTCACATTCATCAATATTTTCAAACACGCTCGCCGGTTACGGGTACTTTTAATTTGGTCCTTTAACACGTCGCCTATTTGGTCAGTTGAGAGTTATTTTCTAAGTACAGTACTGTATATTAAATTTTAAGTTATCCGTAAACTTTACTCCAACTCTGACAACGATAAAGATGTAAAAGTATTATGTAATTAAAAAAAATCTATATTATAAAGATGAAAATGCGTTTGTTACTTCTTAGCGCCATAACAGCTTAACTAACACTATGAAATTTAATATATTGGGTCCTTTCATTTGAAATTGGCGTCCACGGAGTTGGTTCTGAAGGTCGAAATTTCCAGAACTAATACGAAAACGTACCGAAACCAAAAACGTACCGTGCTTTCTTTTGCGACACCAGCGCCGTACACATCATTAATCCTTCGAGATGTTTCTGCAGCAATGGTGCTACGGTAGAACTCGTACTTGTAAATATACAGATATTTCACGTTTTCCATTGCGGTAATGAGCGACGCCAAGGAAAAAAATAATGAGGAAAAAACAAATGAATGGATTTTCAAAACTCAAATGCATCAGCTCAATGAATTTATAAAATTGAATTTGGGTTTCTTAACCAAAGACGAGATATTTCAGATCAAAATGGTCAGTACGACAAAACGCTAATTTCATATGTAAGTACCTAATATACATCCTATACGGGATGGGCAAGAATATAGACTACTTTTTGTCCTGGCGATTAACAAATTTCGGTCTCAATGTAAATGTTTTCGTTTGTTACCATTTGGCATCTTTACAGCTCAACTAACCATCATGAAATTTGATATACTAATATTATTTAAAATAGAGAAGGGCATGGGCTATACCTTTAATTCTGTTCAATTAAGTGAACGGAGTCGCGAATCAAAACTAGTACTAGTTGTCATGAAATTGTAGTATTTGAAATGGAAAATGAAGACCACAATATATAAAAACTAGTATGATTATAATTTACACAAAACAAATTATTTGATTGCATATAGAGTCGTAATTGAAAGGAATTTAATAATGGTATTTATATAAAAAATATTAGTAATTAAATATTAGCTAGATAATTACATATATAATTTATTATAGACAAAGAACGTGACATACATGCAGCCACAGAGAAGATAAGAAATAAAATGGAAGACTTGAAACGTGAAAACGATGGATTACGAGATGAAATATCAAGGCTAGATCATAAATTAGAGGAATCTCTGGCGGGATTACGAGCAGCTTCAAGATTAGGTGATCAAGTAGAAATGAAGACTGCGCAGATCAACGATCTGAAAGAGCAAGGTATGCAATTTAGAATAATAACGATAATAAATGTTTTATTAATTTGTAAATTTAAATATTGTTGATGTAACTATGAAATTTGTAAAATCTGTATTTTCTTTACTAGTTTTTCACTTCTTTTTAACATTAATGAAAAAAATCCTTAAACACGTAAGTGTAAAAATTTTTTATTGAAAGCAGAAGTGATAAACTAATATTAGAAAGATTGATATGATTCGATTTTTATTAGTTCTCTTGTTTTGTAGAATTATTAGCTAGATAGTTGTAGCACTAATGTAGATTTGAGACATCTCAATCATAGTGAATAATTTTCTACCGCAATCATATTTCATAACCATTCTGAACTAGCCGTGGGATACTATCAGTTTTAACCGGCTCATGTCGAGCAGTTGTTTGACTAAATATCAGCTGGTAATTCTGGGATTATTGCTCCCAGACTACCAGATGGTATACAGTTAAACACTGCGATACCGCAAAACCATAGCAACACAATTGACACATGTAAGTTGAACGTTAGATTTTGCTTATTTACGACAATGTTTGTGTAGTGTCAATTTAAGTTCGCTTCAACGTGTGTCCAGGATTTCATTATTGATTCTGCATATGAACTGTAGCATGTAGTGTTTGTATCCGCTGAGACATTGTTATGGAATTTTCATATTGATAATATGAAGCTCTTTACAAAAAATATCGCATTTGACAACGACGATCCTAGCTAAATTATGTATTACTATCATGAGACCGAATATGACTTGCAAATCCAAATTTGGTTTCAAATAAACGGCTATAGCAGCTGACATTGAAGTCGACCGCGACATTATTGTAGATGTAATAATAAAATATTTAGGTTTATACTTTCATATTTACAGCTTCATATCTAGATGTTTCTTTCTTAACAAATAATTGCATATCCATTAATTATTGAAATATGTAGATACTCAAAATCTAATCGACACTGTATTTACAATAACATGTTATTATAGGGTCAGGATTAAAATTTACACTGGTTAGATTTATAAAACTTTCGAAACGTATGAAAATAGCATTTCAAGAGACAAGCTTTTGCCTGTTTCGGTCTAATCTCATTTGGTAACTGTGAGGCTTCATCACGCCGCGGCTGCAACCTGGTTCACAGGCAGCGGTTAGCTGACATGTGTCCACAGCGAGCAAGTCCGCATTACACTCAGATTACCATATGGGATTTGATTGAGGCGTCTGGCTTCACATCGTGTCGTCCCTGTGTTCTATCACCATTTTTGCTTTTATATTTTTTTGTGAACGTTTCTGATGAAAAATTATGCAAATTGTAAAGCCTCGGCCTTTTGTTTTTTTTTTTTTTTATCTTTCTAAGAAATCGTCAATTCAGTTACGTACCTGTAATTGGCCACTTTGTTATTTGCAAGATTTTTCATCATCGCATCGATTTTCATTTTGCACTTGCAAGATTTATAGCACACGTCATTGTTAAGTGTGTTTATGTTTGTTGTTGTTTTGTTTCTTGCATTGGAAATTCTAATTTAAAGATGTAAATTCAAACCTTAAATAGTTTTATATGCAATTTAAAAATAGTAATTTGGATATCAGTTCTTCGCCAGTTTCCTCTCTTGTTTCATTATCATTGTCTGTAATGATTAAACTAATTCCTTTGTTAATAACACATGCAAGTTTATTAAGTTTATTTCCAATGCAAGAGTTTTTTTTTTATTATTATTATTTTATTTAGATCTTTCAATTGTGTGTAGAAGAGTAGACAATAGAAGAATTGCCGCATTGTCTTTGAGTATTACTTCAGGTACTGGTAGAATTTGAAAAAATGAGGGAAAATGGCTACTCGCACTGAACATACGTTGTCTATCATAACACATTACCTTTTTGATACATCGGTCAAAATTATAAACCAAACTGTATCACAGTAATGTATGAATTTAATTGTAACGTTTATCACGACGTTTTACAGTTAAAATTTTACATCTCTTCTGATCCAAGTATCAGTTTGTTAAGTTCATTTAAAATGGGCTTTATTAAATTTTTTTTTTTTGTAAATGCTAAAGTTGACGATAATGGTGCAATTTGAACGATGGTGTTAAACTCATTGATCAAATATTTCACACTCTTTTGCATGATAAAAGATTTTAAAGTCTAATTATACTATTTGGACTAAAAACATGCAGAAAACGTGACTGGAATCTGTGTACGACTCTTCGAATGGCCTGGAGAAATTTAGTATGACCGTGAATCAAAAATGGTGACAATTTCGTGTATTATTCCATTATTTTGGTTGTTCGATAGTGTCTGTAGTCCTTGACCCCCTTCCCAGTGGCTGAATAATACTTTAAGATCGTGCGTGCGTATGCATCGAGCGAAAAAACACCAAGCATCAACTGCATGGTAAGAGTAAATAGTTTTTGTTATAGAATTGAAATGTAGAATTGTCTTTTTATTATTTTCAAAATTATGCATTGTGTAGTCTGTTTTTATGGGACTTAAGAAAAATATAAACAAACAATTGATTCGACTGCTGAAGACTGCTGATGTCCAATAGCAATATAAATAAAAATCTAAATAACAGATTTAATGTTTTGATTTGACATTTACTTACATTGTTTTCAGTGGTTACCTTGTCATTAAATTCTAATTGAACAGACTATAACTTTGTCTATTACGTTGTTTGCATATGTAACAATTATTTTTCCCATATGTTTGTTTTTTGTATTTTTAAAATTATTAGTAGGTAGCACTAAATTTATTTTGTAACCCAATTATTTGCAGGACGTTGTCTTTAAAGTGTCTTTGTTATTATTTTTAATTCTATTATTAACATTTTTTTCAAATACTACTTAACTATGTTGTATGCGGTTTTCATAGTGCACCAGAAGGTCTAACTTAAAGTCTAGTATATTGTACATTGATACGCCATCTAGAAGTAATTTATTTCATTAGTTTTCCTACTTCGAATAATGATGATGATGATGATGATGGTGGTGGTGGTGATGATGATAATGATGATACATAAGAAAACATAATGAAGTTCAATCGTGAAGTCACAACACGAACAGTACATTTATAGTAATCACTTCAATAAATACAATGAAAACATCTCTCCATCTAGTACGCACCCTGCAAATGTCGGTGGCGGCAGCTGAGGAGAGATACAACAACACGATATCCAATCAGCAGGACAAAGTCGACAAGAACCTGGTGAAGAATCTTGTCATGAACTACGTGATGGCCGCCGCGCAGAGTGCCCAGAACCGGTAATACTGATACGGTTGAAATTTTTATTCCCCTGTGGTCCCGGCATAGAATAGGCCTTCTTTTCCTTAGTCACTTCTTATGACACCCACAGGAAAGGTAAAGGCAGCCTATTCTATGCCGGGATCACACGGTAACTTTATAATATTAAATATTTCATAGACAAGTTAAACCATGTTACAAATACTAAAATAATGAGTACAATAGTAATCCTTTCTCATGATTATTCCATCCACAGAACCAGAGTCCTCAAGATACTGTCAACGGTCCTCGACTTCAATCAGCAAGAGTGCGAGAGGCTCGGTCTAGCGCGGTCCACCAACGCCTCAGAAGGGATAGCGGCGGAGTTCGTCAAGTTTCTGGAGAACGAGTCCAAACCGCGAGCCCCGCTGCCCAACATGATGGGTTTAACCCAAACCACAAGCAGAAGCAGTACGCCCACGTCAAAGAACTCTTCGACCTTGGGTATGGTTCGATAATGATTTGTTTTATACTAGTCTTCACCGGCGACTTTGTCTACGTAACCGGGACGTTGATTGGCCGAAGCAAAAAGCGGCCTTTGTCCGCTTTCCCATATATGTATCATTCTCTTGACGTTTGATCGCTTTCATGGACCCCATTTTTTTTAATGAGTGAAGATGAAATGGCAGCCCCGCCTGCGCTATCGGTATACGTTGACTAGGTACCAGTGAAGGGTGACAGGTGAGGATGAAGGCAGGTCAGTTGGCCCATAGTGACCAATTGAACAAGAATTAACCACTATTGTTTCCAGGGGAAACCGCGTGGACGTCGACCTGATAGGGTGTATTGCTAGCAATGGAGTTGTTAAACCTCATTACTGATATGATATTTTTTTAAATATCTTTTTTATTTTGTTTCCAGGTCCGAATCCCTACGAAGTTGGTCACAAAAGGAATCTTTCTTCCGGCTCCAACAACCTCTTATTCCAAAACATAGACTCTGTTGAAACCTCCTCACAAATATCCATAGAGTCCGATCATAGAGAACCTAGAGTTGTGGCGCAGTTAGACACGGGGGTCAATCAAACTAGAAACACGGAGGGCGCCATCTTGAAACATGTTTTAAAAGAAATGTAAAATATTTTTTATGTCTATAATTTAAGAGTTATACACGGCACAAGCAGACGCGCGCCACTTCGGAGAAATTGTGAAATCTATACAACCAGTTCATTAAATAGAAAAATTTTTGACTATAAAGTAGCCAGGTCTTTTATAATAAATGTCGATATCGATATTTTGGACAGCGGCAATGATTGTACAACACTGTATACATACATTGATTTTGTTGGTTGGTACTCAATGGTTGCATAGATTCATTTTCTAATTTCGTCAATATAAAGACAGTGCTGACTCTTAAACAAAATAAAGATTGCTTACTCTGTGGACGCAAATGGATGACAAATGTCCCAAATAAAGCACTAATATTTATTTATTGAATTAAATTTTTCGTTTTCATTCATCACGACATATTCCGTACGAGGTGGACAGCATGAATCAAAGTCTGTTACTACAATGATAGGAAACTTAAATTCGTTAAAACTGATACGATTGAATTGCATTTAATTTTGTGTCGTGTATAATTCTCTACATTGTAACTTACTCACACGTTGATTTATTTAATTTAAAATAAAATTTTAAAATAATCTAAATTTGCAATCGCATTGATTTAATTAGAAATTTTGGAGTAGTGACTTTAATAAAATTATTGGTATCAAAAATATAACAAATGGATTATATTATGTTAACAATTTAAGTGAAAATAATTTAGAATTTATAATTTTAGAAATTTAAAATTGTATCTTTATAAATTTGTTACATATCGATGTAAGTGTATGGACATTGAACATCATCAGTTACATCTAACTTAACAATATCTAAATTCGAAAACGTGCGTCATCTATTCATTGTGAATTCAATGTCATTGTTTTTGTTAATTAAAATACATTTATTATTTTATACATATAAAAAAATTATTTCTAATTCCGTACGTAACTTAGTTTTACGTTATGTAAAGTGACATAATAAAATTTGATATTTTCAAATAGTGTTTTGTCCAAATTTTACATTTGTCATTTTTTTATGTTTATACATTCTAATTGTTCAAGCTTAAATCACAATATTTTAATACTAGCATCCCGCCCCGACTATGCACAGATGCTAATTGTACATATAAATCTTCTGTAAAAAATACCTAAATGACATTGAACCTCGTACCAAAATTCGTTGCATGGTTTAAGAGAAGTAAGCAAAGAAACAGACAGACGCAGATAGCGACTGTGTAGTAGTATGGGAACGATTCTGAGGTGTCATTCCTCTAAGCCTTATTTTTAAATTTGATAGTTTCTACATATCTTTGCACCGCTCGCCATCGACAAGGAATTTACTCTCACATACTTGAACCCATAAATGGTCACATACAGTGTGGTTTCAAAGGAATTTTTTCCCACAAACGCTCAGGCTGCAGAGTGAGCTTCCTATCTAGGTTTGCTCCAGAGATTACAGTATGGAGTTCTTCAAAAAGGGTATAATATGATTTGTCCAGGGTCGGCAACGCGTACGTGACACCAGTAGTGTTGCAGGAGTCCGTAAGTTACAGTGACCGTTTACCATCAGACGGGCTGTATGCTTGTTTGCAACCTTCGTGGAATAATATATATATACATTATTTTTTACTTTTCTGGTAAAAAATAGTTCATAATGGTCCTTAGTAATATGCCGTTGTGACATAATTTGATATTTTGTTTTTAAAAATTCGTTTAGAAAAATGACGCATCAGAATCGACCTCTGTTTAACAAATTAACAAGCCTAAATAGTGCATTAGCAGCATTATAGATATTATAACAGTTTAAAGAAATACACTATTATTCATGAAAAAGAAAAATCTCTTACAAATCTATTTTTACTGGCAATGTTTTGTCTCATTCTTTCATATTGGGAATTGAATGAGAAAGAAAAAGACAAAACACTATATATATCAGTCACACCTGTCTCCTATTAGGGTAGGCAGAAACAAGGAACGCCTAATACTTCGATTCAAACAAACCTCTTTCGCTTCTTCCACATTCATCAATCTTTTCATACACGCTCACCAATTACGGCTACTTTTAATTTGGCCCTTCTTCAGCACGTCGCCTACTTGGTCAACATACGTCCGTCTAGGGCGGCCCCTACCGACATCTCCATTCATTCTTGCTCGATAAATCTCTTTCGTAATTCTTCTTTTATCCATCCTCTCCAAATGGCCAAACCAGTGCATCATTCTCTTTACGATTTTTTGTCACTACATCGTCTTTCAGTTCCGTCACGGACCTCTGATCCTGGGGGACCTCATTTCTTCATCATCATATCAGACGTTAACTCTCCACTGTTGAACGTAAGCCTTGCCCAGAAGGAAAGTCGACACTCATCTTTGAGTCCACACTTCTCTCTAATCATACTGTTTTAAAAAAAATTAATAACTAAAATAAATAGGTTTATAAGAATTTTAACTTTTTTATGAATAAGGAGGGAAAAATATATTACTTTTTTATTTCAACAATTTAAACAGACTCCTTTCATATGGGTTGCCATATGAAAATTTATTAAAATTGAATTTAGAACAGCGTATACACTTTGTCTACTTTATTATCAACTAACTGCCGCCATGTTTGTTTTAGACTTCAATTTAAAACTTAAGGAAACGTGCCTACAAACTTTAAAAAGGCAGGCAATCCACAAGCAACTTCTCTCGTGTTGCAGATCGATTCAGTAGTTTAGTTTTTAAATTGAAATAATTTATTTTGTCACGAATAAAGTCGGTATTTTTTTAAATCTATTCTATTCTTAAATAAATTATTTTTAATTCTTCGCTTATTACTTATTAATTAAATATTTCCCTCATATTAAAAAGTATAAAAAAGTATTATAATAATATATATATATATATATATATATATATATATATATATATATATATATATATATATATATATAAGTATACAATCAAACTGATATCTATTACGGTCGTGTTGAGAATGATAAATGAACACTTTTGTCCAATAATTTTCATTAATGTCATATTGAAATTATTAATTTGCTGCCATATTATTTTTCATACAATTTAAAATGGAAATAATCTGATGGTTCATCTATTGGAACGTAGCAACCGTCGCCGGAATATACTGTGACGCCCATGACACATGTAATTTGACTGCCATATCCCACATATAGCATGTTGTAAAACAATTTTCGAGCAAACCAAAAATGGATAGTAAAATAGACAAAGAGTTAGAACGTTTATTGCTATGTCTGCGCCATAAATTACAATTGTTAAGAAATGATGTTACTGCGCACATGTGATATAGTTAGCAGTAATGATAATATAATCATTTGTAAATATTTGCCTCGCCACATACGCGCCTCGAATGTTTATGTACACAGATATAGATTCATACAGATGGAGCAACTGTACATTGCGTGCCAATATTTAGCTCTAAATTAATAATAATAAATGCCACAAGACATTACTATAGCGTTATCTAATACCGAATTAATCAGAGCCTGCCATATGCCCATAATTTATAGATACACTTTTTTAATACATAAAATTATACATACACTAGCGACCCGCCCCGGCTTCGCACGGGTACACATTACATCACATCACATTGGAAACCTCTAAATTTATCAGTGTTCCTCTACTATATTATGCATGTATTATACATATAAACCTTCCTCTTGAATCACTCTATCTATTAATAATAAACGCATCAAAATTCGTTATGTAGTTTTAAAGATCTAAGCATACATAGGGGCAGACAGACGGGAAGTGACTTTGTTTTATACTATGTAGTGAAGCACAGGTTTATAATTACAAATAATAATAATAATTTATTTAACAAAAATATACATTTGCAATTACAAGATACATATACATTACACATTGTTTGAGATACACAGTAAGTGTATCTAGCCTACATGCTAGGGAAATCTTGTGTTATGAAGGTCAGGCTACCGCACTTTGTATAACTAAATTTTCTTATATAAATTTAAGAAATATTTGTATTGTGCTGGGATAGAACCCGCGAATGTGGGGAAGGAGAGGTCGTTAAATTATGTACTATGAAGCCTAATTGACTGATATCAAAATTATAATTCTATTTTTTTTTTAATAGGTGATTATAGTATGGTAACTTCGTCTGCGCTATCGGTATACACTGGCGGGGCACCAGTGAGGGATGACAGATGAAGATGAAAGTAGGTCAGTTAGCCCATCATGACGAATTAAACTACAATGGTTCCCCCTGGAAACCATCGTGAATGGTCGACCTGATATTACTAGTAATAGGGCTATTTGACCCCATTACTAACAATCCCTTTCCCCTCATTATAATTCTATTAGAAATTTGTCGAAAAAATTTACGAGGATTATATTTCAGATGGGATTTTTGAAAGTGTAGACGTGTATCTGCTATCAACAGCTTTCGAACATGAAGTTTAGTTAATTTATTTTTTATATAAAAATTGTTCCATCTGTATGTATCTATCTCTGTATGTATCTATCTCTGTGTGCACGCTATTCCTTCTTTATACAGAGTGATATCAAAATTATCAGAAAACTTCTAAGGAAGTATTCTAACAGTGAAATAAATATGGGATGAAAAACATTGAAAACACCTCCCATAACATAACTGTTATAAGATGGGAGGTTTTATATTTGGGAAATACTCAATTACATTGATAAAATGTATCCTAAGCATTTTGGTTTCACCCTGTATATCGTTTGCCAGCTTTCATTGTAAGCCATCCATAATAAAATTAATTAATTTTTAATTAAATAAAATTTAATATGATTTCGCACAAATTATTTTGTAATTATAGCCCGCTCTGTAGCATTTACAAATTTTATTTCAATTGTATAATATATGTTCAAATTATTTTATATTTAATTTTTTTAACGATAATGTTAAGTTGTTAATAAAGTTGGTATTATCATTTGTTATGTCATTTTTATTTGTACACCTTTTTTTTACAACACAGGGGGCAAACGAGCATGCGGCTCACCTGATGGTAAGTGACTACCGCCGCCCACGATCACCCACAACACCAGCGGCGTTGCAGGTGTGCTGCCGGCCTTTTAAAAAGGAATATACCCTTTTCTTGAAGCTTATGTTGTCGTATCGGTTCGGAAATACTGCTGCTGGAAGTTGATTCCAAAGAGTGGTTGTGCGTGGAAGAAAGTGCCTTGAAAACGCACGGTGGTAGACAGCCACTCGTCCAGATGGTTGGGATGAAACTTTAGTTTGTGGCGGGTTGTCTATCTTCAAACCAATCCCTAGCTAGGTAGGCAGAGAGAATATCCCAGAGAACTCTTACCCTTTTTCCTTTTACATATATATATATATATATATATATATATATATATATATATATATATATATATATATATATATACTCGTCAGTAAATCCATCCTTGGGGGGAAAGGGATTGTTAGTAATGGAGACTGAATCCCATTGCTAGCAATATACCCAACCAGGTCGACCTCCTCGCGGTTCCCCCTGGAAACTATCATGATTAATTCCTGATGAATTCATCATGATGGGCTAACTGGCCTGTTTTCATCCTCATCTATCACCCTTCACTGGTGCTCCGCCAGCGTATCCCGTTATCGCAGGCGAGGTTACCATACCATTTTCATCCACCTTAGAACCAAAATGGTGACCATTACCGTTTCAGAGGAGATTCTTCCTTCGAAGGTTCAGGTTATGGATTAATCTTCCTACCGAGGTTTTTCGTAGAGACCAGTATGGGGTTCTTCAAAAGGCGTAAGAAGGTTTCTTAAGAGTCGAAAATTTACAATTTAGAATAAAGATTTCGCTTTGATATCAAATTTAAATTTAAGAGATAGACTTACGAAAATTTTATTTCTGAAACGAGCCCACTGTCGTACTTAACAGCGCCTCTAGCGGATGGTTCTGCAAACTCGAATTTTTATACCTAGTTATTTATATAAACGTGGACAGGTGTCCAGTTATCAATTTAGTACGAGGGACTAAACATTGTTTTTTTTTTATTTTTCAACCACATTAGAGAAAAATATTCAATTTCACCACTAAGTAGAACTGTTTTTAATGGACGATAATGGAATGGTAACCTTGCTTGCGCTGACAGTATACGCTGGCGAGACGCCAGTAAGGGATGACAGATGAGAAGGAAAAAGCAGGTTAGTTAGCACATCGTTTCCAGGGGGAACCGCTTGGAGGTCGACCTGACAGGGTATATTACTAGGAATGGGACTGGTAGCTTGCATTATTAACAATTCTTTTCTCCCACTAGAACATGTTGGCATAAACGCAAGCATAACGTAAATCTTTAGGCTCGTATAAAATTTCTTTTTAAAATGCAACAAATGCTTCTCCGAAGTAGCCCAGTCGAGAATCGAGCAAGGTACTTTTAATATATTTATGTCATGGAGTTTTTTTTTTAATATATGTAAATGAAATGGTAACCCCGCCTGCGCTATCCATATACACCGGCGGGGTACCAGTGACGGATGATAGGTGAGGACGAAAAGGCAGGTCAGTTAGCGTCATAGTGACGAATGCGACTAGTATTAATCACAATGGTTTCCGGGGGGAACCGCGTGGAGGTCGACCCGACAGGGCTTGTTAGTAACGGAGGCATTCCCCACTACTAACACTCCGTTTTCCCTTTGTCACAGAGGTTATTTATGTAAACAAAATATCACCCTCACGACTCCTTATCCCTTAGATGCCATTATCTCGCATAATATACCAGTGGAGGCAACTCAAAGTAAAGAAGTAGGCTAGAATCCTTCACTCGGAGGGAAGGGGGAAGGGATTATTAGTAATAATATTTAACGGCCTCATTGCTTGCAATACACCCCATCAGGTCCCCCTGGAAACCATAGTCATTAATTTTTGTTCAATTAGTCACTACATGCCAACTGACTTGCCTTCATCCTCACCTGTCACCCTTCACTGGTGCCCCGCCAGCGTATACCGTTAACGCAGGCGGGGTTACCATTCCATATTCACCTATTAAAAAAACCCTTCACTCGGGAGAAAGGAATCGTGCTCAGTAATTTAACAACGTTTGAACCTAAATGGTCACGTACAGTGCGGTTTCAAAGGAATCTCTCTCCAGCAGACACTCAGGCTGGAATGAGGTCACTGCCAAGGTTTTCCCTAGAGATTACAGTATGGGACTTTTAAAAAAAAAGGTATTTAAAAGTTTATTCAGGGTCGGCAATGCGCTTGACACCCCTAGTGTTGCAGGCGTCCATAGGCTACAGTGACCGTTTACCATCAGACGAGCTATATGCTTGTTTGCCACTATTATGGTATAAAAAAATAATAATGAACAGTCATTAAAGCATTGTAAATGACAGCAAATTAATGATTAAATAATAATCGAAGCGGTATCTCGATCTACAAAGAGCAGATTTTTTTCTAATAGACCTGTAATACCCCGTCAGAACGACACCTACGCTGTTCCTCCTGAAAACGATCGTGGTTTGAAACCAATTGTTGTTGAACTCATCACGATGGGCTAACTAACCAGTTTCCATGTGTTTGCATGGCTGTGTTTCGGTTTGAAGGGTGGGATATGGCGGGAATTTACTGGGTACAGAGGAATAACACCTGAGTCCTCAGGAATGGCGACGCATGGGGGGTATCATGGGCGAAACAGTATACTCTGTTATTTCCATGGTACTGCTCATGTCTATAGGCGACGATTACCACTTTCCATCAGGTGGGCCGTCAGCTTGTATGCCATTCTACGTTGTATAAAAAAAACAATCCGATCTCACCTATCATCTTTCTGGTGGCCCGACAGCGTATACCGTTAACGCAGGCGGGGTTACTATACCATTATCATGCATTAAAAAACTCTTACTTGCACATTACAACTACACGTAGTAGTGGACTGGCTCTTATCTTGAAATCATTATATTTTCGTATGGAAACAATGACCGAATTGCAATTTTATGAGTGTAATCAGCAACTCGAGGCCGCGGCACTGGACACACCTTCCCTACTAGCTGCTACCAAGAATCTAACATTAAATTGGATGCACCCACTTAGCTAGTCTAGTTTTTTTTTATATCAGTCGTGTTATTTTTTTAATGTCTTTTTTATGGCACCAGCGAGCGGTTCTCCTGATGGTAAGTGGAAATCGTTGCCATTTTTATGGGTGATAATAGAATGGTAGCACGTAGTAGATGAAGCACTTCTGAGAGACGATAAGGTGAAGAAGAAATTACGTATTTATAAAATCAGTGTCGTAGTTTCAGATTTGAAACTGCGACATATGTTGAGTTAGGTCCTTTGCACAAACACTGCTACATTCATTTTGCTTTTTATATGTTTTTCTTTTATTCAAAATTAAAAGTAAAATAGTTAATAATTATTAATTAATTAATTAGTTAATAATGTTATTATATAATTGTATAATCTTCATTATTATGTTGTTTTGTCAGATGTAATATGTATAATTTATATTATTTTCCTTTAGAGCAATTGTATTTAACTAATGATATCATTTAAATGGAAGGTTTGTTTAGTATATGTGTAAATAAATAAATAAATCAAGTCAGTTACCTCATCGTGACGAATTTTTTAAGAATTAACCACGATGATTTTCACAAGAAATCGCCTGGAGATTGGCATCTCAGGGTATATTGCTAAAAGTAGGCCCTCTAGTCTCATTACCAATCCCTTCTCTTCTAAATCGTCTTTAGACATTACAGAATTCACAGTTAGTCTGTAGTTACCTCTTATATTTATTTATTTACTTTATTCTTTAATGCACAATAAAACTTTGTACAAATGGCGAGCTTAATGCCATATGGCATTCTCTACCAGCTAACCGTTAGGTAAAAACAGAAAGCGTATGAAAGGCAGATGTGGTGAAAAATATGTGACATAATTATAGTAACATACTGAAATAAATATACATAATAATACATAAGAAATACACATATAATACATAAATACTACATATATTAATAATAAATTAAGTAGTTAATTATATTCCTAAGGATATCGCCGTATGGTCCTAGCATTGAATCGGCTACCCCTTTCTTTCTCTTAGGTACCGTAAGAGAAGACTAAGGGAACTTAATGGATGGGTAGCAACGTCCCTCTTAAAACATCCCCAAAACTTAACTGCGGTTACCAGTTCGTCTTCCAAGCGGGGCAACTACTGGAAAAACCCCCCAATAGGGGGAGATCTATGTTCAGCAGTGGACAGTAAATAGCTGATATGATGATGATGATGATTATAAGGTATTTTGCCTTCAGTACCCTATAATTTCACTGCCATAAGTCACCCTTCAGTTCGAAACATAACCTTCCAAACAGCTAGTTGATAGCGCAAATACAAGTGGTACAGAAGTACCTTTTTAGTTTTTAACTAGAGTGAAAATCTTCCAAAGAGACCCATCCGCCGGCGGGACGACGTATGGGTACTGTGGGATTTTTACCCACTAAAAACACCCCGGTATTCCTCTCGGCGCCTACCCGCCGGTGACTGAGGTTCGCGACTAGCAGTCTTCCCAGTCACCGGCAAGGTATAGAAGTACCTACTTACAAGCGATTTTTTTATAGTCTTTTAATGTCCACTACTGAACCTATCTATCTATCTATCCTATTTAAGAGTTACGCTTTTGTCGGTGGAGCTCTTGCCGCTCACTACGATTTTCAGCGAGTCTCCTCACCTCTTGATACGACACGACACCAACTCCTTCCTTGATCTGCCTGATGTAACTATGCCTCGGTCTCCCTCTTCCCCTCTTTCCTTCTATCTTACTTTCTATTATAATGTTCATAAATTCGTCGTGTCGTATCAAGTGTCCCAACATTTTTCCCCTTCTGTCCTCAATAGTTCTAACAATTTGTCTTTTTCCCTTAACCCTAAGCAGGACTTCCTCATTGCTAATTCCATCCCTCCAGCTAATTTTCTCCATCTTTCTCCAGTACCACATTCCAAAGGCTCTAAGTTTATCCATTTTCTTCTGAGTTAATGTCCACGTCTCGTCACGTCTGCATACAAAGCTATACTCCAGATATAGGTTTTGATAAGCCGCTTTCTAATATCTTTTGTAATCTTAGCCTGTAAAAGGTGTTTTTTGTTGTTGAAGGCTTGTTTGGCCATGGCTATTCTCGTGACTACACCCGGAGTACTGAACCAATTTTGGTAAAATTTCTGTAAGTACATGTAGCACTGAAAATTTTGCTGAGCTAATATTGAAGTATTGATATAGTATATGAGGGTTGAGCGCTGTTGTCTGAGATGCAGGTTTTATAACGTAATTCAGACGCAGATGTTTAAGCTGATCCAAATATACAAGTGAATCCGCCAAACAGGTCCGCCTAGTGTGGGGCCCATTGTATCTTGTATTTGTAACTTTGTGTTTTATGTCAAATAATAATAATAAAAAAAAAAATTATTTTAGATAAAAAATACAATCGAATAGAGAACCTCCGCCTTTTTTAAGTCGGTTGATAATTAGTTCTTTCATCATCATCAGCATTTCATTTCTGAACATAGATTTCTTCCAAGGCACACCTTTGGGTTCATCACTTCCAGTTCTTACCCAGTTAATTGACTTCTATCAAATTGTTACCTAAGTTTTTTATACCATTAACGTGACAAACAAGCTAACGGCCCACCTGATGGTAAGAGGGTATCGTAGCCTATAAATGCCTGCAATACTAGGAGTATTACACACGCGTTGCCGACCCTGAAGAAACCTCTTTACCCCCCTTTTGAAAAACCATAAGAAGAATACAGGGTCACAACTATACCGTTAGCATCATTGTGAAATAATGTTTCACATTTACCTATTTGTATTAAAAGATCGTTATATAGTATGTAGATGTTATATTAATTTTGTATTACTATATGCCTTGTTAGCAGCATATAACATATTAACATGCGAAAAACCCGTTATTATCTATAGAAAGTGATACATAACACTTCCCTTAAACGGTGTCTTAACATGACATCATAACCTCAATAAGAAACTAACTAACTAACGCCAATAAAGCCACAATCAGTTTTCAAAACGCACTCCGCCATAATTAAAAAGCAAAATTATTCCACCCCGTGTGATTAACAACACACCCCCGCGACTTACCACTCACCACCCCTTGTACCACCCCATTTCTTCATACTATGGTCAGTAGATTCAGAACTGCCTTGTAAGCCATGCCGTAGCCCTAGAAACTGAACGCAAAACAAAAATAAACAATATCTTTTTTATTTTTTTAAAAATCGAATGCATACATAGTGTCAGTTAACGTTTTAAATTCTATAATTAATTCCGTGTAAAGTGCAGTGTCAAAGACTGGCCGAAAAGAATTTTTCTTAGTGGTTTGTTGTGCTAATTCTTATAATGGCCGACAAGCTGAAATATAACCTTCACGTGCTGAAGCCAACTTTTTTCACGGGCTAAACGTTATTTCTTAATCCACATAAATTTCCTTGAGTCGCGTGATGTTTTTAGTGTTAAATAATCAGTACTAGACTTTTGTTTTTTAAAATGACAGCTAAGCTAAGGAAATTTCGCGCCAAAAAAACAATCATGGTGGATATGGTATCGGTTATTTATTATGTGTTCAAAATTAAATTGAAATGACGACGTCTGAACGGTGTACAGTGAGTTGAGACAATTCAGCGAAAATGTGAAATTTTGTGACTATTTACAAATTGTTGGATCTTCCAAAATATTAACTGTGTGTGTTGTGTTTATGTTATTTTGGCTGTGACATTGTCTTCTGAAGGTTTGTATTCATTCGAAATAAAAAACTTAGATAAAGTATGGTGAACTGAGACTCCCCAAATGTACCTATTTCTCTATCTGAGTCGTCTATACACATACTCAATACGAATTTAATGTGCTTACTGTGTTTTTCATTTCCGACAATTGCTGACAATAAAAAATAAATATAAGTTTTAAAAATAATATATTTGGGTTAATTAAATGACCGTAGATAGAGAAAAAAATATATAATACATAGACATATTACCATGCGTAATAAACTGAAATGATTTCCTTAATTTGTCCTACAATACTGAATGTTAACCTAAAAGAAGATAAAATATCTATAATTCAACATCTTCTTTTTATATCTCCAGGAAATACAATTGTGATGTTAAATTATCTTCATTCTTGTTTCGTCTTTTTTCATGTCTCGACTTTATTAACCGACACGTCGGTTTCAGAAACTTCTGACCCTTCCTCGGATGGTGTTTTTTATGAATCTTAAAATGACAAACTAACTATAGCCCACCTGATGAGAAGTGGTAACCGTCGCCTCCAGACAAGTATTAAGAGCATCAAATAATAAAAGATTGTGTCCCACTAAGAAATCAACTTCAAATGTGACATAACCAGTTATTTTAACCTAAAAACTAAACTACTTAACAGGTTTTGATAAAATTTCTACGGGATCAATCTGAAAGTATAACCTTTCAGACAAAAAATAATTTTTCAAACCAGTTTATAACTGACGAAGTTATGGGGTAACAAACATAAAAATATCGATACGTACGTGTAATTGTTTATCTGCAGCAATTTTAAATTTTTTCGCCGCATAATTACATTTCTGTTTTGCAAAAGGTTGACTGGCAGAGAATGCTATATAGTATTAAGTCCGCTTCTTGTACCAGACATTTTTTTTTGTACTGTGGTCAATAAAGAATAAATAAATAAATAAGAAAAAATACAACTCAATTTTTTTTTATACAACTTAGAATGGCAAACAAGCTGACGTCCCACTTGATGGAAAGCGGCAACCGCCGCCTATAGACATGAGCAGACCATGGACACAACAGATTACACTCCTTCGCCCATGATACCCCCATGCGCTGCCACTCCCGAGGACCCAAGCGTCACTCCTCTGTACCCAGTAAATTGAGAAATTAATAACTGAGAGAACCTCCTTTTAGAAGTCGATTGAAAATACTCTGTGACGTCTACAATACAGCTCATGGATGGCCATTCCTAAGAATTATGGTGTTATGTCTTGGTACCCTAAATTTTCATATAATTTTTTCTTAAACACTTCCCATGTACAGATAATAACTAGACCAAGTTACAACTTTATTATATTAGTAAAAGACTTGCTTCACGCTACATTTCTTGCAGGGCACCAGAGGGAGACTTTGTACAAAAGTCTTTTGTTTGGGTACCTCTGTCTCATTTGTGTTTCAACCGTGAAGCAGTTGTGTTTACATGGTTGTGTTTCGGTTTGAAGGATGGGATATGGCGTGAATTTACTGGGTACAGAGGAATAACATCTGAGTCCTCAGGAATGGCAACGTTCTCTGTTATGTCCATGGTACTGCTCATGTTTATAGGCGACTTGTTTGTCATTCTAAGTTGTATAAAAAATATATATACAATATTGTAATACCAATAAAGTAACGATAGACATCAAAGGTGATGATAATGATGATGATGGTGATAAACTACTTTTACAATTTTTTCAAAAGAGATTCATAAGCATTTCTTTGTACAATAATCTAATAAAAAGTAACTCTAATTATAATATATATATATATATATATATATATATATATATATATATATATATATATATATATATATATATATATGTATATTTTTTAATTGAATTCACTTATAATCGTATTTTCTGATATTGCTCACAACTTGGGTTACATGTTTATTTTTATTATTTACTTCATTTTCTCGCACTGTATAACTATGTCAAAGTAAATGCTGTGAATACCTATAACAGGCGTGTATATACTACTGTATTATACTATACTGTATTGTATTTAATGTTTGTTATATATGTTACAATGCAATATGCTGTTGGTGTTCCTTTAAATAAATAAATAAATAAATTTGTTAGATACTTGTATAAAGAATGGATACCATATTCGTTCTATTTTATTACTAGATAAACAAATATAAGCTAGCCAATTTCGAAGGGTTAACTTTAAGCGAGCGGTCATCGCGTAAACCAATAAATCTTCAATAAATAATGACTAATATCCGTAAAAAGTCGAGTGAATACACTAGTACATTTGGAAATTAATCTCACATATTACACCTACATGATGATTAATGGTGCCCCTTCAATATAATGGAGTGAGTGAAACAGCGAGGCAATTTCATTACCGGAGAACCCGGTATCTGATGGGGTGAACACGTCGACGGTTTCAGGAACATTTTTGAACAGGAAATGAATATAAAACCTTCGATTTTAATAAAATTAGCACGGTGTAACCCTGAAAGTTACGCCCTTTTTAACCGACTTAAAAAAGAAGAGGTTCTGGATTGTAAACCTTCCGGTTATCTACCTGGTTTCTTACCCAATCTTAACAATCCATTAATATCGGAGAGGGTAGGAGGGTTGCATTATTGGGAGTTCAGCAGACTTTTGCCTAGTAACATATCCATTCTACCAGGGTGAGAAGGGACTGTTAGTAACGGGGTCTAACTCTCCCCTTGCTAGTAATATACCCTATCAGGTCGACCTCCATGCGGTTCCCACTGAAAACCATCTTGGTCCAAATATTTATACCAGAGGAAGACTTTGTACAAATCCGTTTGCTTGGGCACCTCTGTCCCACTCGTGTTTCTACCGTGAAGCAGTTATGTGTGCATGGTGTTGAAGGTTGAGATATGGCAGTGAATTTACAGGGTACAGAAGAATAACACCTGAGTCCTCAGGAATGGCAACGCATGAGGGGTATCATGGGCGAAACAGTATACTCTGTTATGTCCATGGTACTGCTGATGTATAGACATCAGCAGTACCATGGACATAACCGTAACATGGTAACCGTCGTCTATAGAGGCAACAGTTATCACTTTCCATCAGATAGACCGTCAGCTTGCTTGCCATTCTAAGTTGCATAAAAAAAATATAATAATGAGTAGGGATATATATTTACATTATTGCTCTCGACCCAAAGGTTGTCTGGAAGAGATCGCTTCTACTGATAATATCGCTCATTGTTTTCTCACTGTGGTCATTTCTTGTAATTGTTTGTATTTATAACAATTTTACTATTGTAATCTTTTAGAAGAAACAATAAAGAGTATCTTATCTATCTATATACCACGGACAGAGATACATAAATGCTTGAAATTTATAACAACCCTCTTTTCATCGAATGTTAATAATATCACAATACGCATAGTCCACATTGAATTTGTGATTTGTTTGTTAGTTCATTGACACCAAGTTGCTGACTCAGTCCTACAAACCACTTAGCTACTGAGAATTGAAAGTAATTTACATAAACTTGAACAAAACTGTAATGTCAAATAGTCATTTGTCCAAATCATATACATCATCATTCTAGGCTTTAAATGTCCACTACGGAACATAAGCCCTCCCCTTGGGGGGTTTTGCCAGTAGTTTTTTAATGGGTGACAATGGAATGGTAACCCCATCCGCGCTATCGGTATACACCGGCGGGGCACCAGTGAAGGATGATAGGTGAGCATGAAGCAGGTCAGTTAGCCCATCGTGACGAATTCAATAAGAATTGTTCACGATGGTTTTCAGGGGGAACCACGTGGAGGTCGACCTAATAGGGCATATTGCTAGCAATGGGGCTGTCAAACTCCATTGCTAACAATCCCTTTCCCCCCGTTTTGCCAGTAGTTGCCACGCTTTACAATTTGACTGGCAACCGCAGTTAGGGTTTGAAGACGTTTTAAGAGGAACGCTGTTGCCCATCCCTTGCTTAGTTACCTCTTACGACACCCAGGGGAAAGGATGGGGCGACCTCTTCGATGCCGGTACGGCAATCACATATATATGTATATCGAAGATCGAATTGTATATACAATTTTTGAGCAATTTTCAATATTTATTTTTAAGCGGACGAAATAGCGGGGCAGAAACTATAATATTTTCTATGATTATAGCTATTAGAATCGCCAGAGTGTTATGTGAATTGAATAGCACTATGGCAAGGACGAGCCAGCGTGTCCTTGGGTCAGTTTCCTTAAATACGTTTATTGTTATCGAGCCCAAATCTTACCCTGATCTATGTCAAGGTTGCTACGTTGGTGGACGACGCAGTAACGTACGGCCATCGTAAGGCTGTCAATGATCTGGGAGTGCTTTATTATAATTATTTAGAAACTAGCAATCCGTCCTAGCTTCATACGGGTAATAGAGTATATTTACTAGAGAGAGGCTTTGTACAAAAATCGTTTGCTTGGGTACCTCTGTCTTATTCGAGTTTGTAATGAGAAGCAGTTGTATTTGCATGGCTGTGTTTCGGATTGAAGGGTGGGATATGGCGTGAATTTACAGGGTACATAGGCATAACACCTGAGTCCTCAGGAATGGCAACGCATGGGGGTATCATAGGTGAAACAGTATACCCTGTTATGTCCACGGTATTGCTCATGTCTATAGGTGATGGTTGCCATTTTCCATCAGGTGGGCCGTCAGCTTGTTTGCCATTCTAAGTTGCTAAAAAAAATATATGATTACATTTTTTTTTATACAACTTAAAATGGCAAACAAGCTGACGGCCCACCTGATGGAAAGTGGTAATCGTCGCCTATAGACATAAGCTGTACCATGGACATAACAGAGTATACTGTTTCGTCCATGATACCCCCCATGCGTAGCCACTCCTGAGGACTCAGGTGTTATTCCTCCGTACCCAGTAAATTCACGCCATATCCCACCCTTCAAACCGAAACATAGCCATGCAAACACAACTACTTTACGGTTGAAACATGAATGGGACAGAGGTACCCAAGCAATCGACTTTTGTACAA